CAGGGCTGGTCAGTCTCACTGGTGACCACTGACCAGAAGGTCCCTCCCCTTTTCCAAACTGCTTTGGACCTGGAATATTGCAATTTCCCCTCATGGATCGTCCAAACCAGAGATGCTCCAGTTGGAAGCTTGGGTGTCCTGCTCCCAACAGGAGCCTGGGTGTAGGATCAAGAATTGAGGGTTGGATTTGGGATCACCAGCCCCAGATGAGCTGTGCTTGGAGAGAAAGCCAGGACAGAAATGAGCCTGGGTGTAGGATCAAGAATTGAGGGTTGAATTTGGGATCACCAGCTCTAGATAGGCTGAGACAAAGCCAGGACTAGGATAAGCCTGGAGATAGGATCAAGAATCAAAGGATTGGATTTGGGATCACTGACCCCAGATGAGTTGTGCTGGGAGAAGAAGCTGGGACTGGGATGAGCCTGGATGTAGGATCAAGAATTGAGGGTTGGATTTGGGATCACCAGCCTGGGAGGGGAAGCTGAGAGGGTTTGACAGCAGCAGAACAGAATTGTATGGAATTACTGCAATTGGCTTCCAAGCACAGAGGGGTTTTTTTTTGTTTGTTTATTTTGCGTTTTTTATTGCCCATTATGCTGCTTGCCTGTCTCTAATATTCCCAAGATTATGTTTTCATAAACAATTGTATTTTCATGCCATGCGTGGAATCTGTCAGGCTTTATTTGATTATTTTTCCAATGCAGCCCAGGCCCCTTTGAAAATCCTCGACCTTTAATTCATTTTCAGCTGTGCAGGCTTTGCTGTGCATAGTAAATTTTGGTCTCCGAGATGTAGAGGGAGAATCAACAGCGTTGTAAAGTCTGGGATTAAATCATCCTTCTCCTTTCTTTAATTCAATAAAGGACTCAGGCTTATCTTGGAGAAAGGGATATCCCACCTATGGCTTTAGAGGTACTTTAAAGGTATTTATAAATCACAAGGAAGGAGCTTTTGCCCATTCATGGGTTGGGATCATAGAGCTGGGCTGGTTTGGCTGTCCTGGGGGGTCTTGCTGGAGATCCCTGGGGTTGGCACAGCACCGCTTGTTTGTGGGAAGGTTTCAAATGCCTCTGAGGTGGATTTTCATGGGGCCAATCCCAGGATTTCATCTCAGCGTGGTTGTGCTGGGCTCTCACCATGAAAGCAACAAAATTCTTTGGATTTTGGTACCATGTTTTGTGGCTTATTTCTCTGGAGGTAGCTAAGTCATTTTTGGAAGTCTGTTCTCATTGGTGAGGTCAGAAGTGATCCTCTGGTGATCACTCAGAAGGGATTTTCTTTAGAGCTGTCCCTCCATAAATCATCTCGGCTGTTCCAGCCAGAGTGAGGAGCTCAAGGTTGCTCCCAAACCCTGTGTCTGGGATTTGGGGATGCTGCCAACCACGAGGTCACCCCTGCTAGCTCCCAGCCTAGGAATGTGCTGGGCAGGACATCCATGTTTTTAAATTCTTCTCATAGTAGCTAACAACAAAAAAGGTAAATATTTAGGTGTTTTAAGGTGGCACCCAGATGCTCCAGGCCCTTGCTCAGCTGCTCAGCCTCCTCTGGCCCCACTCCAGGAGCTCCATGTCCCTTTCAGTTCCTTTGCTTTGCCCAGGAGAATGTGAAAAGCTGGTGATTCAGAGGATGTTAAAGACATTTACAGCTTACCTTTCTTTTGTATACATGTAATTCTGAAGGCAGCAAATGATGGTGATCTCTGTGATAGGTTCATTTAATGGGGGTGGTTAAAAGGAGGACGCAGCGTTCTGGCAGCAAACAGGGCTGTGCTTGCAGAGGGTGTCAGTGGGTCCATGAAAAAGAGATGATTATGATGCTGTCAAGTGCAGCAGAGATCTCTTAGACACAAGACTCCTGCCTTCATTCGGTCTTGGATATGATGTAAATACCTGATTTGGAGGTAAAAGAGACAACAGACAGTGCATGCAAATGCCACTTGTCCCTTATTTACACTCGCTGCGATTTTGACACATTGACCAGTGTTAAGAATCTCTTTTGAGGCACACTATGAGAATCAGACCCAAAAATCTTTTGTTTTCTACCTTGTGTGAGGTAATGGTCTTTGTTGGACTTCATTCTGGTGCTCCAGGGTTGCAAGGCCAGGCTGGGCAGGGCTTGGAGCAGCCTGGGACAGTGGAAGGTGTCCCTGCCTGTGGCAGGGGTGGCACTGGATGAGCTGAAAGGTCCCTCCCAACCCAAACCATCCTGGGATTCTGTGGTTCAGTCAAGAAGCAGAAAATTGCCTTGTGCCCCCACTCTGGGTCTCTCCAGAGGTTGAAGGGTGATGTTTCATTTCCCATGAAATATCTTAGACAAAGGGGAAAAAGCAGGAGAGAAACTCCTTGACAGCAAACTGTTTTGAAGAGGTAATTACAGTGCAAGCCAGAGACAATTTAATTTCAGCTGTATTGCAAATGCAGGATCATAAAAATCAGTGTTCAGGACTATGAGGCTTCGCATGACAGCTTTTGTCTTTAATCACCAGTGTATTTACATCAAACACAGTGTGGCCAGATGGACCAGGGCAGTGATTGTCCCTCTGTGCTGGCCCTGCTGGGGGACCTTGAGGGCTGTGTCCAGTTCTGGCCAGAGAGCCCTGGAGGGGCTGGAGCGTGGCCAGGGCAGGGAAGGGAGCTGGGGAAGGGGCTGGAGCCCCAGGAGCGGCTGAGGGAGCTGGGAAGGGGCTCAGCCTGGAGAAAAGGAGGCTCAGGGGGGACCTTGTGGCTCTGCACAGCTCCTGCCAGGAGGGGACAGCCAGGGCGGGTCGGGCTCTGCTGCCAGGGAACAGGGACAGGACAAGGGGAAACGGCCTCAAGCTGGGCCAGGGAAGGCTCAGCTTGGACAGCAGCAGGAATTTCTCCATGGAAAGGGTGCTCAGGCCTTGGCAGGGGCTGCCCAGGGAGCTTTGGGGTGCCCATCCCTGGAGGTGTCCCAGGAAGGGCTGGAGGTGGCACTCAGTGCTCTGGGCTGGGGACAAGGTGGGCACTGGGCACAGCTGGGACTCCATGGGCTGGCAGGGATTTTCCAGCCTCAGTGATTCCATGCATCCAAGCAAAAACCAGCCTTGACTTAGCAATGACCTGTGTGACTGAGGAAGGACTGAGGTTTTTGGAGAAATAGATACACCTTCTTTAAAATTAATTTCTGCCACTTCTCTTGTGGGTACTATGAATGAAAATAACCAACAGCTGATCCTCCAAATAATATTTATTAATCTGACAGAAAAGTGGAATTGTCTTTTGATGCAGCAGTTTGCAACTCAAAAGAAATGTACCTGGCAGGGTGGGCAGGCCCTGGCACAGGTGCCCAGAGCAGCTGTGGCTGCCCCTGGGTCCCTGGCAGTGCCCAAGGCCAGGTTGGACAGGGCTTGGAGCAGCCTGGGACAGTGGAAGGTGTGATCACTCCAAAAGCTGTTAAGCATGCATAGTTTGTTCCTTGAAATGGGTCGGTGGTCCCTTTCATGGGGAGGGGTCCCAAAATGAGGAAGTAAATGAAGTCTTCCTCGTTCTGACCTTTCTACCTTTTGAACGCCAATATGACAGATGAACTCGATGTGTTCATCACAGAGATGCTCTGGTGCCAGTCTATCACCCAGTAAAACCCCAGACTTTGATGGTTTTGTGATGGCTGTGGCTTTTCTTTAAATTTTAATAAAATCCCAGACTGGTTTGGGTTGGAAGGGACCTCAAAGCCCACCCAGTGCCACCCCTGCCATGGCCAGGGACACCTTCCACTATCCCAGGTTGCTCCAAACCCTGGCCTTGGGCACTTCCAGGGATCCAGGGGCAGCCCCAGCTTCTCTGAGCCATGGTGAGTTTTGGGTTAAATTTTTGTTGTGTCTGAGTGTTTCCTTCAGCATCACCTGGGAATATTGGTGGTTCTCAGGTTTTCATGGACAAGAGATGATGAGAAACAAGAGTACTACAAATCACAGGCTGGTTGAGGATGAGGGAGAATCTGGAGGTCCTCTGGTTCAGGTTGCCATGGTCCATGTCCTGATGGCTTTTGGGTCTCTCCAAGGCCTGAGCAGCCTTTGCTGAGGGAATTGGTGCCAAACAAGTGACAAAGTCACCTTTTTGGCTGAAGAAAAGCCACAAATATGGCTATTTTTTGAAACAGGGAAGTGTTCAGAAACTTCTTGAGGGCTTGGATGGTGGCTCAGTGCTGCAGAGCTCTGTGCTCTGTCCTCCCAGGTGTGATTTCACTCTTCTGTCTGGGGCTGCTTGGAGCTGATCTTCTCTGCCCCTTCTTTGGGTTGCATTTTATTTCTGGGGGGCTGAAGCAGACCTGGAAGGAAAATGACTGAGCAGGTTTGTGGCTCACAGGAATTCCAGTGGGGCTTGAATAGATCCTGTTGCTGTAAGGTAGAAAAGTGAAGAAAGGCTCCCAAAATCAGTGGCTGGCCTTGTCAGGCTAGCCCTTTGCAAGTTCCCATGTGAAAGCAATCCTGGTGTGAGCAGTTTGTTAACATAACAATCTATTCCTAGGAAAAAAAAAAATTGCACCTGTATAAACTGGCTTTGCACTGTTAGATAGAAAAATGAAAACAATATCTCAAAAACAACTCCACTGCATGTACACAATGGGGGTTTGAGTGACCAATCAATACAGAATAACAACTTGTTAATAGCCAATAAAGTAATTGGTAAGAAATCTACTGACCAATTGGAGTCACACAGGAGGTCTGTAAAACTGTATAAAAAGGATTTATGTGAATAAAGATGGGGGTTTTTTTGACCATGAAGAAAATAGAGTTATTTATTCCTATAAATATATATTCCTAGTTGATTGCCAGCTTTAGGGATGGCTCTCCAGAGGTTTATCCCAGTGGTCTGCCATCATCACCAAATCCATCCTAGCTAGAAAAGGAGCAGCTTTCCATGATAACTTTTTCCAGTTCATCCCCAGAACATGAAGGAGAGATACAGAGGGGAGGAAAGCAGCTGGATCTGTGCTCTGTGTGAAGGGATCCATTAATGGAGGTTTCTTTTTTGTTGCAGCGTTCCCACATTCCAGAGCCTTCCCGAGGAGATCCTCAGTAAGCTTGCAGATGTCCTGGAAGAGGTAAGTGCTTGGAATATTGGGATTTCACAAGTTTAGAACCTTCTGCTGGCAATATCCAGCCTCTTCTTTTCCTCAAAGAGCAGCTCCCCAGTTTGGTAACCATTGAGGCCATGGGAGGACTTGTGGGGAAAATTAATCCACTTTTGAATAGGGTTTTTATATATTTCTAATCAGATTTTTATCCAGCTGGGGAGTGAATCAATCATTTCCTGTGGTGTCTAGAAGGGAATGAGCTTCTCCAGCCTGTGGGTGAGTGGTGTGGAGGAGGGGAATGGGAAAACCTGGTCTCATTTAGTATTTGATGGGACACTTATTTTGGAGGGTACTTTAAAGATGTTGTGGAAAAGGTGCTCTGGGAAGAGTTGCAGCAGTGTTGAGATGTTGGGGTGGAGCTGGGCTTCGCCTGCCTGGCTTTAACTGGGGTCTCATTAGGGTCAGGCTTCTCATAAGTCTATTAAAAACAACAAAGAAATCGCCATAAAACACCAACCAAAAAAAAAAAAAACTCTGAAAAAACCTGCAAAAAAACTCTATAACCCCTTAAAAATGCAAAAACCCCCTAACCTGCACCCAACCAAAAAAAATCCCAAAGCTCTCCAACCTTGCCCTATAAACAGATGTAAAATGGATGTAAAATATTAGGCTCATATCACAGTTTAATCCCAAAATTTAATTCCCACAATGCTCCCTTCTGAGCCTGAAGAATTCAATATCCCAAAAAGTTATTAATAAACCCTTCCAAAAGGTGATTTAAGTGCAGGGAGTGAATGTGTGGCAGTAATTTATTTCATTCCTGCTGGCTTTTCTTCATCCATGCCTCTCCATCAGGGAAGATGTTCCCGTGGATTTGGAGGAAAAGCGCTGCTGACATTGGAGTTGATTTGAATTCTTTTTTTTTTCCTGAGCTTTGCTTGGGTGTTGTTCTTTCTCTGCCTTTTTATTTAGTGCCCAGATAAATTCTGTGGCTCCAACAAATCAGCTGTTTGTCACTGAATAATTGCATATTCACAGATAAGCTTTATTCCCTTTTACTGCCAGGGAATGCACTGATTTAGGAAAAAAAAAGGATATGAATTCCCTCTGCTGTAAATTCCATCTGCCTATCTCAAAACCGCACTCCCAACCAGAATTTGCTTGGATCATATCACCAGCATTAAGCTCCTTATCAAGAGTTAAGGAGGAGAATAAAGTCCATAAAACTTTTCCAGAAACACTTAAAGTTTCGTGGCAGGGGGGAAAAAAAATTCTTAATAAATATCAGTGAAGAAATGAGGCATGAAAGCAGCATTTATGAGGAATAAATCTGGATTTTTAGGGTGCATGCTTGCAGTTTTCTGTTTGGAATGAGTGATATTTTCTCTGGGTTTGTATTGGATTAAATAGGCTGTGTTTTGCATAATTAAAAACAAAAAGTCACTCTCAAATCTGTGTATTTAGATATGAACCCCTACCTGACTACAGCCCCCTTTCCACAGGTCACACCTGGGAAGTACTGGAAAACCCCTCTTGATCATGGAATTGTTAATATTTTATGGAAAAATGTGTCTGGTGACTCACACAGGGATTGTCATGGTGGGACCAGCATTGTCAGTAATTTCAGTCTTTATGGATAATTTCATTTAGCAAATGGAATTAAAATCCTGAAGGGAGTAGGATGGGGAGTCTGTTCCTGGCACGGACGAGGAGTGGGATGAGCTTTTGTTGGGCATGGGCAGTGCTCAGAGATCTGGGCTGGCATTTCCTCCTCTCCCTCTTTCCCCCCTTCATTCAGGGTATTTTCATTTGGGTTTTGTGGCACAAAATCAGGATTTCTTTCCTATCCTTAAGTTGTTTCAAATTCTGGCAGTTTTTTTTCCTTTTTAAGGTTATTCCCTGTGCTGTTCAAATGTAAATCTTGTAGGATTTCCACCTCAAATCAGCTGTTCAGGTACTGATAGATGTAATGAAGGTTCCTTGACCTCCTCTCCTCTGAAACCACTTCCAGGCACTCATAATTTTGTAATTTCCCATTTGAGCTCATAATTTTCATTGTGTTTAACAGCTGATTATTCTAAATTTTGTTCCCCAACTCCAAATTCCTATTTCAAAAAAGGATCCTGTTTGCCTGGATGTCAGGGATGGAGCTGTTACCTGCCTGAACATCTGTCCCAGCTCCACTGAACTGGGGTTTTCAGGGAAGGGGGAAGAGGCAGGAATTCAGAGAGCCACGGGCAGGAGGAGTAACTAATTCCAGACTGGTTTGGGTTGGAAGGGACATTAAATCCCATCTCATTCCACCCCTGCCATGTCAGGGACACCTTCCACTGTCCCAGGCTGCTCCAAGCCCTGTCCAGCCTGGCCTTGGGCACTGCCAGGGATCCAGGGGCAGCCACAGCTGCTCTGGGCACCTGTGCCAGGGCCTGCCCACCCTGCCAGGGAACAATTCCTAATTCCCAATATCCCATCCAGCCCTGCCCTCTGGCACTGGGAGCCATTCCCTGTGTCCTGTTCCTCCATCCCTTGTCCTCTCCTGGAAAGGCAAGGAGCTGAAAGGGCTCTGAGCTCTCCCTGGAGCCTTCTCCTCTCCAGATGAGCACCCCCAGCTCTCCCAGCCTGGCTCCAGAGGGGCTCCAGCCCTGGAGCAGCTCCATGGCCTCCCTGGATTCACTCCACAGCTCCTCGTGCTGTTGGTGCCCCAGACAGAATTTCCAGTTCTGCGCCTGCAGATGCACAGGAGGGGATTGAATTAAGGTCTCGTTGGCATTACCAACCCAGACCTCTTCATCTGCATTTCCTAATCCTGTTCCTTGACTGTCAGGGATTTAGTTTGGTAATCCATGAGGATGTTGTGTGTGGGATTCTGAGCAGCTGGAGTGAGAGACAGCGACAGAGGTGCTTTGATTTGCTTAAAAAACCCCTCAGATCAGTTTGTTGTGCAGATAATGTCAGCTCTAAACCACGTCACGTGGATTTTCCTCCTTCCTTGTGTATCCTGAACTCGAGACAGCTTTGACATTGTGTGTGTGTATATATTTATGGATTATTACTGGATGTCTGGAAATTTCAAGTGTTCCAGGCCAGGCTGGACAGGGCTTGGAGGAGCCTGGGATAGTGGAAGGTGTCCCATGGCACAGGGATGGACTTTAAAGTTCCTTCCAATCCAAATCATTCCATGATTCTCTGATGATGCTTTTTAACATATTGATATATATCATATTTATTTATCATAGCTGCTGTGTAAATAGCTATTTAAATATAAATATGGCTAATTGCCCTAAATCCAGCTGTAGAGCTCTTGATTAAGTCAGCCTGGGTTAACAGGAGAGCAGCCACAGCTTGGCAGTGCTGGGAATGCCATTCCCACATCTCCCAGTGTGCATTTTTGGTAATTCTTTCACTGGAAGCATTAATATTCAGATTTTTAATTTATTTGAATGCACTACTGAGATCCAAGTGCCAGTGATGTGTTTCCTCCAGCCCCAGGCAGTCTGGTCCTGACTCCCAGTGAATCTCTGGACAAACAGAGCCAAAGTGAGGGGAGAGGCAGAGAAATGTGCTGAACCCCACAGGCGGAGGCTGCCAGGGATGGAAACTCTTCCTGCCACTCTGGGTGCTGAAATCTGGGATCTCATCTCCTGCCTGCAGCCACTTCAGCAGCTCAGTTTGTGTGCTGAGTGTCACTTGCCAGCCTTTCCCTTTTTTTTTTTTATTTTTAAATTTTGATTCCAGTGAAAGGCTGAATTTCAAAAGGCACAAATGTTAAAAAAATAAAACACAACGCGAAATTCTTCCCGGTTGCTTGTGGAGCTCCTGTTGTGGCTCCTGGTGGAGAGTGGGATCTTGGAGGAGATTTCATGGCTTAATTCAGCTTTCAGAGCTGTCCTGGGCCTTCCCAAGCATCCTTCCTGCTCTACACTGCCCAATTAGTATGGATCAGAAGGCCTTGGGATGCCTCTGGTTAATTAACTGAGCACAGTCCTGCCTTTGTGGGATTGTCTGGCAACAGTGAATAGAAGAGGCAAAATGTGCAAAATTAATTAGCTTTCCATAGAATCTGTGGTTTTTAGGCTTATTTAGGAGCGAGGATGGCTTTTGGATAAAGGGAATTGGGTGCCTGGTCTGTCCTGCAGGCTCTGCTGGTACCAAAGCAGGTATTGATGTGATACAGAGCCAGAAATCAGATTTGAGGGAGAATTCAAAATAAATAGGAAAGAGTAAAAGGTTTAGAGTAAGAAAAAATATGTTAATGTTATTATTTATATTTTTTTTTTCTCAAAGGAAGCACTCTGGGGTGTGTTCACTGGAGGAGCTGTGGGACAGGGTAATGCTGCCTGTGGGGGCATCAAATCAGTTTCAGTCATGACTGATTCCATCACAAATGGACAAAATTTTGACTTTAAGTTGTACTTCGATTAAGTTTTCAAATGGTGCTCATGAGAACACAGCTTTGAGTTTGCAGGTGCACCAGGAAGTAAAAGCTTTTTGGAAAAAAAAAAAAATCAGAAAATAAAATGCAGCTGTAAAAACTGGAGTGCAGGATTACAGTGGAATCAGTGGCAGGAGCTGCTCTAGCTTTGAATTGGGATAAAATGTTTTGTTTGGAGTTAAGTTTTCCTTTTGATTTTCCTTAATGTGGGCATGAACCACATGAAGGAAATTAAAAATAATCTGCTTGTGCTAGCACAGGAAAGGAGTTCAGTATTCCCTGGTTTCTGTGGATTCTTGTCAGGAATGTGTTTATCCCTGTGTGTGTTTATTGCTCATCCTCTGCTCTCCTGCAGTGGTAGAAATGGGACAGGATTTGGGGTTTTTCTTCCCCCGTTCTGCAAAAATCATTGTTAAAAGGTGACGCCAATGGAGAAAACATTTGAGACTCTGATTGCTTCCAAAAATATCCCATCCAGCCCTGCCCTCTGGCACTGGGAGCCATTCCCTGTGTCCTGTCCCTCCATCTCTTGTCCCCAGTCCCTCTCCAGCTCTCCTGGAGCCCCTTTAGGCTCTGGAAAGGGCTCTGAGCTCTCCCTGGAGCCTTCTCCTCTCCAGGTGAGCACCCCCAGCTCTCCCAGCCCTGGAGCATTTCCATGCCCTCCTCTGGACTGGCTCCAGCAGCTCCACATCCCAGATCAGACACTCCACTGCAGAAAATCTGTTGCCAAGTCTTCCCATTCGGTTTAACATCAAATCCCTCTTTTTTTCCCCCCAGTAAAATCCTTGTGCTGAACACACTGGAAGGCATTTCCTGGAGTCCCATGCTCTTGGTGCATGTGGGAACTTCAGGTCTTCTCCTGGTGGGACCTGCTGGGTGTTTGTGTCAGGTGCAAGGGGCAGCTTTTGGCCTCTGCTAAATGCACTTTTTGGGCAGGGAAGGCTGTTGGAATCTGTGGTATTGATGATTCCGAGATTGTAGAAAGTCTCTGTCTTTCAGCCCCGCTGCCAAAGCAGAAGCCATAATTCATCTGTGCTGGTTTCAAGGTTGTTTATTCTGTTTATCTCTAACATGTTCTGCTGCCCTGCCGCAGCTCTGTCCTGCAGGGCAGCGTGTGGGGCTCTGCCCTCAGTGGGATGGTACAAACATTAAATACCACAAACTACCTGTGCTGGATTTACAATAACGTGCCAATATCTGTCACCTACGTTGAACAGTGTGTCCCCAGCCTAAACCAACAGAAAAATGCCAACACCACAGTGAAACATGGAGGGCATGAAGAAGGAGAAAAAGGACAAGACACACCCAATTTCCTCCATCTTGTCCCCTCTGAACCCCTAATCTAGAATCCTAAAATTTTACTTTTGAACCCGTGCCACACTTAATTATTACTTCTATCAAACACTCAGAGCTTGTAATTCATCCTTGTAAGATTGGAAACTCTTTTCCATGGACAGAGATCACAGACAGTGTCTCTGGGGGCTCTGTCAGGGGGGTTCCTGACCCCTGCCAGGGTCCCAGGGCAGCCAGAGGGAAGCTCTGGGTTCCCACAGAAGGGTGTTCTATTTTCAAAATGTTCATTTCTAAAGCTGCCCCTCTCAGGTTATGCAGGTGTTGGGATTTAAGTGCTTCCTGTTTCCAGTTGGATTAAACCTGTCTGTGAGATTTTTTTTTTTATGCTCTCTAAGAGGATTCTCCAGCTGATCTGTCACAGTTATAAAAGAAAAGAAAAACAAAACATTTTTTGCTGTAATCTTAGATATTTTCCAGGGTTTCACAGATATGAAAAGGACGGATTTAAGCAAATCCATAATTTATTATTTGCCCTGGTGGATTTGCAGGCTCTATTAGAGACACACAGGATGGATGTTGATTTTTTTTCATGGCACCTGGAACAGCAGAGAGGTCACAGGGGAGAACTCAGGAGCTCCAAGTTGTCTCTTCCCTGATCCAGCCTTGTTCCTAATTTCCCAATATCTACTCAGTGTTCCCAGTTTCCAGAGGTTCTACAGCAACCCTGGGGCAAGGAATCAATGGAATCTGCTTTTCCAGGCATTTTCTTTGTTGCAGATAGGTTGGGACCGATGGGTTGGTGGTTGTCCTTCACTTCCTGGGTGGAGAAAATGCAATCTATTAATTCTGACTGAAATTTAATTAAAATTTGGGCACTGGGGGGGTTTTACTGTGGTAGAGGTGGCTCAGCTCAAGCCCCTCTTTCCAAGCAGCACTCCTGGCAGCCCAAGCCAAGTGATTTTTGGGATGGATCTCCCCATGGAGAGGTTTCTGTTTTGTGCTGAGGGCTTTGCTTTCAGTGCTGGATTTTTTTTGAGAAGCTTGGGAAGAGAGCATGTGGCTCTCTGGTCTTTCAGGCATCTCCTCCTGGGAATTCGTTCAGCAGTTTTCAAAATTCCCTAATTCTCATCCACATATCCCTACTTAGAGGCATATATGGGCTAATTTTGGTGAGAATAAACCCCAGAATGAAAAACCAGCCTGGTGCTTACTTAAAAATATTCCATGATTTCCACCCCTCAACCCTGAAGAAGTTAACACAGACAATGCTTTTTTATCTGTAAAAACAGGGGGGAAAAATACAATCAGCAATTATATTAAGGAAAACCCAAATATTAATTACCCTGATGGGTGTTTTTCCTTTGATTCCGAGGTTTTCCCTGCTGGATTTTCCCATAGTGTTGCCCACAGTGACACCTGCTGGAATTTGGGACAAGGTTGGCTTGCAGGTCCTCCTGAGTGAGTCCTGCCAGGGATTAATTAGGACAGAAATGAAGGGGACAGTTTATGAGGTCATGGAGACACCTGTGGCCACCCAAGGAATGGCCACCAGGCTTGGAATGCTGGGAATATCAGCTGGAGACCCTCCATCCATGGGATCAATTGTTAAAAACCAGCTTTAAAGCAAAGATCAAACATGATGATGGGGAGATCCTCTTCGCATCCCCAGACCTCCTCAGAGTATGTTCCTTTTCCAAGGAATTTATTTCCCTTAGGAAATGGGATTGCTCACACTTGAAGGTTTGTTCCTTTCTGGTTTTAACCATCCCCTCAGAAGCCTTGGGGGTAGTTTTGAAGTTTCCCATTTTCAGGGTGGTATTTGCAGTGTCTGGGTTGTAATAATAGGAATTAAAAAGTATCCTCAAGATAGCAAAAGCCATTTCTTAATCCATGGAATGGGCTGGTGCTGCTGTCCCAGGATTTTCCCTGCATGGGATGGGATCCCATCTCCTTTAGGGTCAGACTTCTGTGCTGGAAATCCATATGGCCATTTTCCAAATTCCTGCAGAGAAAGCCATGCAAAGTAGAATTCAGAATTTTTAAAGCTGTGGTGAAGGAATTTTGGGATCATTGTGTCCTTGCCCAGTAAGGCAAGGGTCAGCTGTGCCTTGTACTAAAAATCTGACCTAGATTACCTTTCCCAGCCTGCCCTGTTTTTGGTTTTTTTATACCAGTCCTGGAAAAAAAAAAAAAAAAAAAAAAAAAAAGATGCTCACAAAAAATCTGCTCTATAGCACAAAATAGCTGGGAAAACTCCCAATATTTCCAATATTTCTGAGTGGGATCATTGCATGAAAGATTGATGGAAGTGTGACTGCTGCAGGGGCAGTTCTTGATGTGCTTCATCCTTCAGAAATCTCAACTTTTACCATCTTCTGAATTTAGGATGTGATTTATTGTTTTTCCTCACACCTTCCTCTTTGGTTACCAGTTGTCCAAAATCCTGGAATAAGTTGGAGGCAGTGGAAAGGTTCTGTAAAATTTTCCTCCAAGCTGAAATAGGCTCATGCACGTCCGGCCATGTCAATTTTAGCAGCAGAGATTCTATTAAACAGTAAAACATACTGATTTATGCACTTAGGGAGGAGATATTTTGCATTTCTATTGTAAAATACAGGTTTTATCCCATTTTTCCAAATTCTGTTGTCAAGGAGATGGTGGCAACCCAGGTGAGGAGCTCAAGGCAGTTTTTTTTTCATTTGGGAGAAGTTGTTATTGATGTTTCAAAAATTGAGATTTTTGTCTTTTCCCAGTTTATACACAGAGAGAAAAATCCACTTGCTGCTTTAATAAATATATTTGGGGCAAGGATTTGATCTTATGGAGGTGTGATTCACTTCCAGAATTCCTTGTTGAGCAGACTAGAGGCTGAGTTTGTGTCATGTGGGCTGATAAAATTCTGCATTTTTTCTACCTTTTGGGGAGTTGATGAGAGAAATCAAGGGAAAAGGAGGATATTTTTCAGCAACAGCTAAAATCCATGGGGATATAACACAGAATATGAAGTGAGTGTTTAATTCATCTGCCAAACTCAGGGCTGGTTTTCACCTGCACAGAACCCTCAAAATGGAAGCAACTGGTGAATTCAGAGGTTTAAACTGGGAAAATGACCTGTTCCAGTAAAGGTCTGTAAAGGATGGATAAATCCAATGCTTTCCATGATTTCCCTTTCAGTAAAGTTGGTTTCCAATGATAATTTGAAGTGCATTTTCATATGGAGATGTAGAGTCTTCTCATCAGTCTAGACCACAAAAGAAAGTATATTTCATAGCAGGTGACTGGAAAAGTGGCTGAATATATTGAATTAATGTGCAGGTTTTTATTCCTCATGATCGATTCTGAAATGAGTTTGGATCCTGGTGGCAATGCAAATACCTGGGGTGAATAAGCGTGTGAAATTTGGAGGAAATGAAGGAAAAGAAATGAAACAAATATGTTGATTTAAGTTGTTTACTTCCAGTTTCATTTTGGCAAGGAATTGATTCCCATTCTAATAACTGTGGAACAGACCTGTGGATTTAGGGAGAGCAGTGGGATTTCCACACACATGCTTCCATTATGCTGAGGGAAACCAAATCAGAGCTGTTTGGGAAAGGACTGAAGGGCAGCTCTTCTCTTGCATTTCAATGAAATTTAATTAAACCCCCACGGACTTGAGCTGCTGGTGATTGGAGAGAGGTTTTATGGTGCAGTGCCATCGTGGGGTTCTGTTTCTGCTTGGATTTCCTCAAAGTTCCTGTGTGTAATGTCCAAAGGAGACTGGGAATGTCATGGAATTGGAGAGATTTCAATCCTTCAAAAGCCTAAAATTACATGTATGTGACTGGCCTAGGGCACACAGAGTCTTAACTTTTTTTTTTTAATTGTATTTTATTTTAGCTGAATTTCACTGCTTGCTAATTTTTACTCGGGGTGACTGATGAATTGATTCCACTCTGTTGCCTGGGGATCCTTTTTCTAATTACTGATTCTCAGCTAATTCTCCACATTTCACAGTCATTATCTGTGAATCTGGTATTATTTAAATTCCCAAGCAAAGCTCTTTGGGGTTTTGACCCCAGTTTGTGGCTTGATCTGTAGCCGAATCCCACTACTGCCTTTTACCCAACTATTTAATCTGTTTTCTCCCCTGGGAAAAAATACTTTTTTTTTTTTTTTTTCCTGTATCAATTCATCTTGTTTTCCTGGAAAATTTTGTTGCTACAGCTTGTCTCCCATTTCTCCTATGTGCTGTTCTCACCCTCTGTCATCTCTTTGCTCTCTCATTCCTTGAACTCTCTGAGTTCTCCCTCTTGATCCTTGAGGGTGGTCTTGACCTTTTGCCTTCTTCACCCCGCTCTGTATCTCTGAACTTCCCAGCTTTCTCAGCATCCTCAACCTTCCCAAATTCCTGTTTCTTCTCAGCTGGCAGTCCTTAAAAAAGAGCAAAGTTTGAAGCACAACAAATCCTCACCCCCACAGGCCAGCTCCTGCTGTCCAGCCAGTGCCAAGGGCATTCCAGGAATGGCAGAAGGAAAGGGCCAGGAACTCCTCCCATCTCATGCACCTTCCCTTTGGGAAGCAGGAAGGAACCCTGGCCAGGATTTCCCAAATGTGGTCCCTTATCCACCTTGTTGCCTTTTAATTATCCCTGAAAATTCCTCTCAGCAAGCTTTGGGGTGAAGTCCAGTAGAATGTAAGAGAAAGGAGATAAAATCACAGCCAAAAGGACAATATTGTGTTTTTCATGACTGGGAGATGAAACCATTGAGGTTTATCTCTAGTTCATCTCCTTCTCCTTAGTTCTGCTTGGTTTATGGGGGCTCTGAGATGAGTTGTATTTGTTTTATGGCAAACCTAATAAATCCTGTTTGGTAGCTCACAAATGCTCCCATTTATCCACTGTTAATTGGCATGGGGGGAGTTTGGTGAAGGTTGGGTGTCCTGGTGTAAAGACTTTGATGGTGTAAAAGGAAGCCAAATGGTTCAGTTGTGTGTTCTGGGTCATGGAAATGCCAGAGATGTGGAGCTGCTGCTGCTTGCCATGAGAGAAGTCAACATTCAGCAGCTTCTGAATTATCACAACAGTAGTGTCTTGTTTGCAAGATACTTGAATTCCTGGTGGAAATTTAGCCTGGCTTTCAGGACCAACAGTTTCCCCTGAGGAGTTGTCAGAGCTTTGGTCAGAGTTGGAAGAATCAGAGTTTGGAGATGGCCTTTTGCTCTAAATTGGAATGTTGAGTTTCTCTCTTCCATAGTTCCCATTTGTATAACATTATTCCCATCTTCTGTCTTGTCCCAGCAGCTCAGCTGGACCAGGGCTGGGTCCAGCTCAGTTTGTGGAGGTTTTTATGCCTTTGAGACACTGAAATGAGAGGAGGTTCTGAGAAAAAGGAAGAGCAGGAGGGTGCCAGCCCTGTCTCCTTTCCTCTTGCTCACTCTAAGCACACAACAGGGAACAGCACTGCCAAACACCTAAAGAAACAACTAGAAATTAAAGCAATCATTTAACCAAAGAGCCTCAAATTAGGAACATTTCTCACATCTTTGCATTTCAGGAACAGCAGGGCCCTGTTTTTTATCCCCTTTGGTTTACCCATTTCAGTGTGTATCCCATGGGTTAGGTGCAGGCTGTACTTGCTTTTGCTTCAATTAGATAGTTGTTGAATATCCTTTTTTTACTGTCCCCATACATCCTTTTAGATTCCTTTTCCCTGGAGCAATCCCTGTTCCTGAGTCCTCAGAAGCACAGATTATATCTTGATATAACACAGATTTTATTTTGGTACAACTTCCGAGGACAGATGAACTCATTGTGGGAGTCATCTCTTAAATCATAGTTTAGTTTTAAGTTACTCTTGGACCAGGGGAGTGGATCAGTAATCCTCATGTGTCCCAACAATACCCAACCCTAGAATTCCAGAATTTGTATTATTCCAGAAGCTGTGCTGTGTCCGTGCACAAACAGCTCCTTTTGGAGGTGTTAAGAGCCTTGCTCAGGGATGGTTTTGCAGGAATTGGAAGCGACCCATCAAGTGCAGAAGGCCCCACAATTGGAGAGGGCAGCCAGAGTGTCCAGCTTGTTCCCAGGAGTGTCAGCACTGTCACAGCACATTAAGGAGCTGCAGTGAATCAGTGCAGGGGAAATGTTTCCCAAAAGGACTGGACAGGGAGACAGGTTCCTGTCACTGTCAGCTTTTGCTCTGAAATACATACTCAGAGTGCTGGTGGGATATCAAAGAGCTGTATCTTTAAGGAGGAAGAGTAAGATTGTGATGGCTCAGTATGAAAAACAAACAAAAAACCTGCAGGGTATTGCAGCTCAGTTAGGACCAGCTGAATGAAAATGACTGGATCATGGAATGGTTTGGGTAGGAAGGGATCTTAAAACCCATTCTGTTCACACCTTCCACTGTCCCAGGCTGCTCCAAGCCCTGTCCAACCTGGCCTTGAGCACTGCCAGGGATCCAGGGGCAGCCACAGCTGCTCTGGGCACCCTGTGCCAGGGCCTGCCCACCCTGCCAGGGAACAATTCCTTCCCAAAATCCCATCCATCCCTGCCCTCTGGCAGTGGGAAGCCATTCCCTGTGTCCTGTCCCTCCAGACCCTTGGAAACAGTCTCTCTCCATCTTTCTTGTAGGCTCCCCTCAGGTCCTGGAAGGCCACAATTAGGTTCCCCTTCCTCATCTCCTTTCTCAGTTCTGTGTTCCATAATTATCGTGGAATAAAGGGCATGAGTTAACCTTCTCTTCCCCTCATCATTTCACCTTCATCAGGTTTTAATTTTCTACTTGTTGCCCTCTAGTTAAGCTGCTGCTTGGGTATTGAGGTGTCTTAAGTGTCAAAAATTGGGGATAAATGAGGAGAGGACCACAAAAGCATAATCCTCCCCTCTGGCTATTTCAAGCAGCAGCATTTTTAGATAATCCCTGGGAGGAGGACACACTGTAAAACCAGGGAAACAAATCTCTCTGATTCTTAAGGAGTTCAGTACCAAAGACCAGTATTTACCCACTTGGTTTTGCAGCATTTTCAGCAAATAAATGTATTTTTCAATTTTATTTTGTTTTGCAAACCTGTTGTCATTTTTAGGATGTTTAAGGCAGCAAATTCCAAACAGGAAAAATAAATCTTCTCAAAGCTGCTTCTGTTTGGAGTTTTGCTGACAGTTCTGTGAATATTTTTTTAAAGCACCAGCAAAATTACATATTTAGGTTATTTTTATTTTATTTTAAAAACACCCTGGATGCAATGGGTGGGACATGGAGAGCTGTCGTCAGCCTCACGTTGCTGTCTCTGGTTTTTGTGGTGCAAACCCAGCTCCAGCTTTGAAGTCCTCATTTCAAAGCCACCTTTGTGCCTCTGCTCCCCTGAAGGGACCTTTGGTGCTGTGGGTCACGAGCGTTCCAAACGTTTCCCACCTTTTCCCAAATATTCTCAGCATAAACACGGCAGTCAGAGGCATCCAGGTGGAGGAAAAATGAGCTTTTCTCAAGTTTAACTGTTGGGTTTGTCTCCAGAGTGGAGGTTTCTCTGTGAGGCCTGGTTCAGCTCAGACATCTCATTTTTAGTCAAGGATTCTTCACAAGGCCTGGGCAGGCTCTCAAACATCTCAATTTTAGTCAGGTTTTCTCCATGAGGTTTAATTAAGGTTTTTCCATGAGGCCTGATCAAGGTTTCTCTACACAACCTGGTCAGCTCTCAAACATCTCATCTTTAGTTGAGGTTCTTCCACAAGGCCTGGGTGGGATCTCAAACATCTCAATTTTAGTCAAGGTTTCTCCATGAGGTCAGGGTGGGGTATTTAACATCTTGGTTTTAGTAAAAATTTTTTCTTGAAGCCTGGTTGAGGTTTCTCCATGAGCCTGGGTGGGATCTCAAGCATCTTGTTTTTAGTTGCGGTTTCTCCATGAGAAACCTCATGGTTGGGCTCTCAGACATCTCATTTTTGGTGGTATTTAGGAGCAGAAGCTCCAGTTGAAGTTTGTGACTGATCAACCAAGCTCAGTGGGCCAAAGACCTCAGCCAGATGTGAAGGTCTGAAGTTGCAAAAGTGACAGATTTTTGTGTAGTGGGCGAGATGTGCCCTGGTGTGTTGGGGACAAAGAAATTAATCACACATTTAACTGTTCTGAGATGGGTGTGGTCACTGAAATATGGATTGTACATTGCTTTGGGTCCTGTATCTGTGGGGGATATTCATCTTGGGGAGCACTGGGACTCAAAAAAGGAGTTTGTTGACAAAATCTGGTGCTGTTGGGCCTCACTGTTCCTAATTTTGTCTGTTTTCAATAGAAGTTGGACTCATGAAAATCCAGTCACTCCAGAAGAGAAATTGCATAGAGTATTTCTCCACTCAAAGAAATATCCATGTCCACTCATGGACATTCTGCATGGGATGAGGGATTTAATAAAATGGGATAGTTGCGTTTTTTAGAGCATAATCTGACTTGATCACAGGATTGGTAGTTCTCCTGTGGGGTACTTGGAGCAGGTCATGGAGACCTATCCATGTCTTATCCTCTCAAACCTGCTGAGTGATCATTCTGCCCCCCCACACCCCCCTTTTGGTGCTGGGATTTTTATTTTTTTTTTCTCACTTCAAGTAAAACTGACAATACAAGTAAAGGGAATAAAAAGGGTATTTTTATAGAAGCTGTTCTTACTGAACAGAGATTTCCATGGGAGGCACTTGATGGAGGACTTCAAAGGGAGGAAGAGCTTCACTTTTGTTCATTTAGGTCAGAAATGCTATTTTGTGGAAGATTCCAGCTTCTCTATATGCTGAGGGACAAGATGGGAGGAAATGGTCTCAAGCTGTGCCAGGGGAGGCTCAGCTTGGACAGCAGCAGGAATTTCTCCATGGAAAGGGTGCTCAGGCCTTGGTAGGGCTGCCCAGGGATGTTTGGAGGTGTCCCAGGAAGGGCTGGGTATGCTCTGGGCTGGGGACAAGGTGGGAATGAAGTCACCAGGTGGACTCCATGGTCTTGGGAAGTCTTTTCCAACCTCAGTCATTCTAGGATTCTGTGAACTTTTGCCAAAACACTTCTTCAGAGGTCTTTGATGGTACCAGAGGTACCTGAGGAGGTATTGCTGCCTCTCAAGTGGGGCTAAAAGCAAGAGCCTTGTCTTTATTTCCACTTCCACCAGCTCTGAGCAAGCTCTTGGGCACTTTGCCTGCCCAGGATGGTGCTCTGACACTGGGCAGAGAGCAAGAATTCCATTAGAAGGGCAAAGCACACAGGGGAGCTGATTCCTGTAAGAAAACAAAGATTTAAGAGCAGGAACACTGTTAAAGGATGGGAAGGATGGGTTGATTGAAGCAGGAAAAATTGCAGGTGGAATTAGCTGTGAAAGAAATGGCTTGGAATACATAAACATGAGGATGTGGGTGGCGGGGAGGGCGTGGAAAGAGGCACCAGTGAGGGGCAGGTCAAGCGAAATGAAAGCCCTGGGCACTCAAGGAAGGACTAGAGAAATGTGATTGGAATGTTGTATGAATGAGTTGGCTGAAATTAGAGCTCAGTTTAAAAAAGAAGAGACAGAATATGCTGAAGTGAGAGGCAGCTTTAGGTGCTTTGAACCTGAAATTTGTGTTCCTTCCATTCCTTTGGCAGAGCTCTGGGTGGGAAGTTTGGGAAGACTCGTGCATGGGAAAGGTTAGGATTCATGGGTGGGATGTTTGAGAGGACTCACAGGTTGGGAAGAGACATGTGTGGGAATGACTGGGGAGATTTAAGAGTGGAATGGTTGGGTAGAATATATGGGTTGGAAGGCTGGGAGAACTTGTGGGTGGAAATTGGTTACAGCAGCAGGACTGAGACTCAGTTCCACAGTGGTTGGTGCTGGTGGTAGCTGGTGAGCAAGACCAAGAAATGTCCTTTTAGGGAGCAGGTTTATCGTGTTAAATTGCCCAGAAATTGTATAAAAATACCATTAATGTATCTAATGAATATGGATTACCTACTGTAAATTTAGAAGCCATTCCCCCTGTATTTTTATCAACTAGATTTTTGGGGCTTCCAAGATTCCACTTGAGGGGGTCTGATCCCAACACCTCCTAAAATCAGACCCTTCCAAGGAATTTCACCCTGGATGGTCAAAAATATGCACCTTCAATCTGCTCTCCAGAAACACCCAATATAAGCAGTAAAACACTGCCAGTTTGTATCCAGGTCTTCTCCAGCCTTTTTTTTCCTTCCCTCTTCCCACTCTGACACATGGAAATGGGAAAAGTTAGGGGTTCTGTTATCAGTCTGTACATGATAAAAAGGTTGGGGTGTAAAGATAAATAAACAAATTCATGTCAACACAACACCTTTGAAACAAAATCTCAAGCTTAACCAAACTTGAGGATTTGGATAAATTCCCCCATTTTAGCTCCAGTCCTTCATGGTTTATACATATTTTGGAATTAGAAGATCTGATGGTGAGTGCAGGGCATTTTTAGGGTGATTTTGTCCCAAATTTGGGCTGGGATAGAATATCCAATACCTCCAGCTCTCCTGGTCATGTTTGAAAAATCCAAGAGATGTTTATCCCAAGGGAGATACAGGAGAGGTTGGATGGGAAACTCTTGGCATCACCCAGCCTGCTATTGGTTGAATTTGCAGCGGCAGAGCGTCTGGGATGAAAATTCCAAGGTTTGATTGGATTCTAAATATCAATTGAAAGTCTGGATTTAAAAAATATTTGGGTTTTTTGGTGAAGTATAAATGCATATTGCTTTTGATGGGGTGACACAAGGGATGAAAGTATCCTAACAAGTTTAGATGCCAGCATTGATAAGCTGTGACATGAATTTAGCAAGGACTGTTCCACAAAATAAGGCAAAAATTGACAGATTAAAACTACTGTAATAACAGGAGAAAAGCAAAACTTACTTGCTGAATAAAGTCCTTGCTAGCAAAGCTGGAAAACCACCAAAACCACAAAAAAAAAAAAAAAAAAGGGAGGAAAAGAAATTTTTTATACCAGACTCCTCATTGCAGTTTAGTTCATGTAGCTTATTCCCTGTTGGAAATTCCTCTGTCTCGTTGATGTGCTAAAAATTGATTCAGGCTGTGAGAATAATTCATCTGGGCATAGGCTGGCACCAGCACAGCCAGAAGAAAAATGGGCAAGCCACAAATGCTTCCAGTTTAATTATTCTGTTCCTTACCACAGGACAATCTTTAAGTCACAGCCAATGTCAAGCTGGGATAAAAGGGGTCCAGGGTGATGTTCTCACAAAGCTGCCAAAATATGGGCTGGAGAACAGGTTCTGCTTTTATCTGTTCATCTTCATTTGGTTCCTTTCCCTCTTGCAGACTCACTATGAGAATGGAGAATACATCATCCGCCAAGGGGCTCGAGGGGACACCTTCTTTATCATCAGCAAAGGAAAGGTGAGTTCACACCTTCCCAGGCCAAGGGGCTCCCAGAATCCCACTCCAGCCTCTCGCTCTCTCCTCTCCCAGGGCACAGACGTGCCAGTGCTTGACATTTAATGGAACTCTTTAGCTGGGTCATGAAAGGAAGAGTGGGCTGAAAATGAAATGCCCTGCTGATTTGCACATGTGCTCCCAGGCAACACTTTGGGGTGGAAATTGTTGTAGAGTCTCTGGGTAAATGACCATGAAACTCAATTACTTTGAAATAAATCCTGCTCCTAAATACTCCATGATTTCTTTGCTAAGCATCCCCCTTCCAAGGCTGGCTTCCAGGCTTCATTCCCATGGCTCTCTCTTCCTGCTTCTCCAAATAATAGAAAGGGATGTCTGAGCTCTCTCTACAGGGGAAAAAAAGGTCTTAAGTTTCTCTTCCACTACTCACAGGGAAAATATTTTTGACCTCTTTTCCCATAAAATGCTGATGGGATTTTATAGACCAAGTTTTTTCCTTCTGTTCGACAATTATTTATAATTTTTTTAGCTTGCGTAATACACTTGAGAGGCAATTGGCTTTGTTCCATGTAGCAGGATGGAGATTTTGGAGGGAATACACAGTGATTTTCCACCATCATCTTCCACTTTCTGGGAGCCAGTTTTTATTGTAAGGCAAAAAATGGTCTTTTTCAGATCAATAACAATGTCATGGAGAAGTTTTTGAAATTAAGTTAATCACAGCCTGCAGAAATCCAAGTTAGTTGGTTTGATGCCCTTTCAGTTCCCTTCTCTCAGAAATAATATTCCCTCTTTTCTCAGAGCATGCACAGTCATGAGCCAAGCTTCCAATCCTTTTTCTTTTGCCAATTATTGGGGTGGTGCCACGCCCATCTCCCTCCCACACCAAGTTTTTGGAGCTGTGTTGGCCACTGAGGTTTTTGCCCCACTTGGTCAGGTGGATCCCATCCCTTCCCAGCAGCACAGAATCCTGGAATGGCCTGAGTGGGAGAGACCTTAAATCCCATCCAGTGCCACCCCTGCCATGTCAGGGACACCTTCCACTATCCCAGGCTGCTCCAAGCCCTGTCCAACCTGGCCTTGGGCACTGCCAGGGATCCAGGGGCAGCCCCAGCTGCTCTGGGCACCCTGTGCCAGGGCCTGCCCACCCTGCCAGGGAACAATTCCTAATTCCCAATATCCCATCCATCCCTGCCCTCTGGCACTGGGAAGCCATTCCCTGTGTCCTGTCCCTCCATCCCTTGTCCCCAGTCCCTCTCCAGCTCTCCTGGAGCCCCTTTAGGCTCTGAGCTCTCCCTGGAGCCTTCTCCTCTCCGGGTGAGCACCCCCAGCTCTCCCAGTCTGGCTCCAGGCTTGGGAACAACTCCATGCTTCCTCTGGACTGGTTCCAACATTCCTCAATCTACAAAGAAATGTTAAACCAAATCCCAGTTGTTGGCCTGCAGCCCTTAGCCCTCACCCAGAGGATGGAGAGGACCTCCCATGGCCTTGGCCATTGCTCCGGAGCCCTGGACTCCTCCTGGAGCAGCTCCTTGGCTTTGTCCCTGGCCTCTGCTTCTTTATCTTGCTGTGACAGCTGCTGGCCAGAAAAAGGGAGCTAAAAGAAATCAAGGCACTGGGACTTGCTAAAAAATTCCCAGACTCTCAGCTGGAGCCTGATGGCTTGACAGAAATTCCCACAGGGATAGTTAAATCCTGCCCAGTTTTCTCTTCCAAGCTTATTGCTTTGGAAAAGAGACACCAATGGCTGATGGGTGGATGGAGCTGGAGAGAGTTTAATTTTAATGCCTGGCTTAGGATGGCTGTAATAATTAATCCATGCTAAGGATACAGCTGGGATAGAGGCTCAGCAGTGAAACATGAAATAAATGACAATAAAATACAGGATTTTAGAGTCAGTGTCTGGTGCCTGGCACCTGCTGAAGCTGGAGCACATCACCTCTCATGCCCTGTGATAAAACTTGACCCGGTAGCTCAGTAAGGCAGGGAAATGCTGGCAGCAGCTCCTGTTCCTGGGAGCACACCTGCAGTGTCTGCAGTCAGCGTGGGCAGGATCAGGGAGGGCTCCTTAGGGAATGTCTGCCATGCCTGTCGCGTCAGAGTGTCTGGAGTGACACAGAATCATGGAATTTTTTTGAATGAAAGGACCTTAAATCCCATCCATCCCCCACCCCCTGCCATGGGCAGGGACACCTTCCACTGTCCCAGGCTGCTCCAAGCCCTGTCCAGCCTGGCCTTGGGCACTGCCAGGGATCCAGGGGCAGCCACAGCTGCTCTGGGCACCCTGTGCCAGGGCCTTCCCACCTTGCCAGGGAACAATTCCTTCCCAATATCCCATCCATCCCTGCCCTCTGGCAGTGGAAGCCATTCCCTCTGTCCTGGCACCCCATTCTTTGTCCCAAGTCCCTCTCCAGCTCTCTTGTACTTTTAGGCCCTGGAATTCTGCTCTAAAGACCCTTTGAGCCTTTTCTTCTCCAGGCTGAAGTGAGCAGAGATAATATTTTACATTTCTGAGGCCATCACTCCTCTCAGAAATACTGAGAAAACGTCTGCTCTGTTTTCTTCTAGCCATCCTCCATTGATAATTCTTTTAGGACCAAATTCCTTTTCCCCTTCTTCCCAGCTCCATCCACCCCATTTGACCCTATTCCTGAGCTCCTTTAGTGTATTTTTTTTAACTTGTTTCCTCAAGTTCTACCAAGCAGAAATCAAAGTGATTTCCAAACCTGCTGTGTGCACGAATCTGTGGAATAGTAATGGATGGAAATGGCTCATTTGCTTCTGTTTTATCCAGCATGAGTCTTGCTGTGTCATTTTCCATCCTTTCCCCTTTAAAATCCACAGTCTGGCACCAGTTTTATGCAGGTTCCCCACTGGAGGCTGGCTCAGAGTTTGAACCATGTAGAAGTCACTCTGTCCTAATCCCTGAACACTGTTTGCTTGGGATCAGTGGAAGTCATGGGGAAAGAGCTGAAATCTGCATTGAAGTTCCCTCTGTTTGTCCAGGGGTGTTCCTGGCTCATCCATCCCACATTCCCTGCCCTTCCCTGAGTCAGTGCAGGTGTTCAGCATCATATGCTACTCATTAACCTCTAAAACCCACTGGTTCTGCCAACCCTCATAGGGCTGGGAGAAGGTGCAGGCCATAAGTTTAATTTAATAGGGAAATTACACTGGGATATCACTAAATCCAAAAGGATGTGCCTGACATCCCACCTTTTAGCTTTGGGAATTTCCACGTGCAACAGCTTTGGTTGAAAAAATCGAAATATGTGATTTCTGCTGGAAAGATTTGATTTCTGCTTCAGCTGGAGTTGTCCCCTCCCTGAACTGGAGAGAGAGCAGAGCCATGCTTCATCCTGCAAAGCCCCAAAGTGGTTCACTTCAGTTGTGTCCAAATGGTGGTGATTTGAGTTCTTCCTGTCCCTTCAGGGAATGTGGGAACGCTGGGAACCATGTGGAACAAAGCTACTGGAAGCTTAGGCCATAGATGATAGATGCACAGCACATTTTTGGAATTTCGTTCTCCTGTGACTGTGCTTGTGCAGCCAACTCCACGTTTAGAGTTGAAAACATTCCCAAAAATCCAAAGCTGTGTGTTTTTGCAGGAGTAGTAGGAAAAATCACCACTCATTTTCTTGGATGGTTGGTTGGGGGTAACAAGGGAAGAGTGCAGGACTCTGGGGAATTACATGGTTCTTAGAGGAGCTTTTCCTGAGAAATCCAGGAGCTGACAAATTCCCCTCTGAACAAAGAGGTTTTAGCTGTTAATTAAAAGTTCCCTGAATCCCATGGGGTTTTTGGCTTTTCCACAGGTGAACGTCACCCGGGAGGACTCTCCAAGTGAAGATCCCGTCTTTCTCCGCACTCTGGGCAAGGGGGATTGGTTTGGAGAAAAAGCTCTCCAAGGGTAAGTGCTCCTTAGAAAGTAGTTCTTGAATGTTGATATTGTCTCCTGGATTTTTGCAGCTTTCAGGCAGTTCTGGCTGTTTGGGAAGAGATTTGGAGTGGATTTATTCTTTTGGAGTCACTGGATTTGTGGTAGAAGGAGGCCCCACCTGGATGGGAAATGGGTTTGTTCTGCACTTGAGCAGACAAATGTAGACCTTCCCTTGCTTGTGGATATCAAAAATTAGTTTATCTTCGTGCTTCCTTCCCCGAACATCTATTGTAAGCTCAAAGAGTTTGATTTTTGCAACTCTGGAGTGTTATTCCTGTATGGAAAAGGATAATCATGGTCATCCTCATGGGGTGGATGGCTGAAAGCAGGGCAGTTCGGGGGGGTTTAATTGCTGTATTTATTACATGGGAGTTTGGAGGTGGAAATTGGATGTGAGTGAGCACTTTTATATAAATATTTTCCTTTGGAGATGAGCTGAAAAAGGAGAGAAGCTGAAAATCCATATTCAGCAGGTGTTTATTATAAAAATAGGCTTCATTAAGGCAGAAATTTGGGATACTTGTTCATTTTCTTGGATAAACCTCTTTTTCTGGGGGTTTAGTGGGGTGCCAGAGCTCTTGGGCTTTTTTTGGGGTAACATGGTCCATCCCTCCTCTACCACCTTTCTCCCCAATAAAATATGGAACAATATTTGAAGGCCGAATTTCCTGGCACTTCTTGGCAGCCAGAGATGTATTGAGCACAAACCTCAAGTCTATGAATCTCTTCCTTAATTACAAAGTATTGTGATTATAGAGCAAATATCCTGATTTTGATGCCATCCCTGCACAGCCCTGGTGATACAGAGCATCCCCATGGTGGGAACTCCTTGGCATTTCAAATACAGTAGTTTGCTATTGGTTAATTTACATTACTTGGCTGTATATATTTGAATATTCAATATAGAAATAGAAACTTAATTATTGAGAGGATGTTCTCAGCATGTAGGGAAAGCACAGTCCTGCCATCCTTGGAAGTGTCCAAGGCCAGGCTTGGAGCAGCCTGGGACAGTGGAAGGTGTCCCTATCATGGCAGGGGTGGCACTGGATGGGCCCTTCCAACCCCAACCAGTCTGGGATCTCTTTTTTTCCTAGAAGGGAATTCTTCCAGAACCATCCCTCCAGTTTGCTGATAATCACAGGAGTCTTACAGATAGATTTAAGTGGAATAATGTGAAAATATTGTAATGTAAACATTTGGTAGCTCAATAAATTGCTAATTAATGAGGTCCTGTCAGGATTGTGAGAGACATCCCTGTTTGGCCACTTGGAAAACCTTTAGGATGATTCCACTGCTGTAAAATACAGCTATGGCTGAGAGCCTGCGATAAAATTGGATTTTTACTCTATTTTTTTTCATTTTTTATCTTTGATTAATTTTTTAAAACTTTACCAGGGCCTTAGCAATACTTGAAAGCCCAGAAAGGTTTGGGTTGGAATGGACCTTGTGAATGCAGGCAAACCTGATGGGAAGAGATGACAATGTCTGACTCAATTCAGAAGACTGAATGATTTCTTTGTTATAATTATGCTAAAATACATTAATATACTACATAAAGGAAGATACTAAAAACTACAAACCTACTTGTTTTAACTCTAACTCACAACTTGTGACCCTCTCTTGAGAGTCCAGCCACAGGTGGGTTGGATTGGCCATCAGGCTCAAAAAATCCACCATGATCCAATCAAGCAATCACCCCAGGTAAACAATTCTCCAAACACATTCCACATGAGAAAAAGAAGGAGCAGAAGTAGAAACTGTTTTCTCTTTCTTTCTCCCTGTGCACCCATATGAAAAATCCTGAGAGAGAGGGAGAAATGTGCTTGCCACAGGACCTTACAGACTAAGGGCCACTTTATTGAAACCTGGTATATTTTGTGTGTGTAGAATAAAAAGCAAGAGCTAGAAATCATTTCTTCATTAAGATAGAAAACAATGCAGAAATGCAGCGTAGCAGGAGCTGGAATAACAAATCCCTCCCAGCAATATGTCCCTGACAGAGCCATCAGGGACTGAAGTGCATTATCCATTTGCCATGCTCACAGCAGATGGCACCCATTAGTTCCCAGTATCCCATTCCACTCTGGCAGAGCAAGTCATGAAATGATGATCCACATCCTCTCCCAGGCCCCTCATACCTTCCTGGCTAATTGGAGGCAGCAGATGGATAATTTGCAGTCTAGCACGACATAATTTAGGGTGCTCCACAATCAGGTGTTGTTTTCTTCCTTGCGAAGAAGTATTTATTATGTAACAACATTTAAAAACATAATAACATAATAGAAAGATTTATTATAAAACAATAATTATGTTTATCAGCAGGGAAATAAAGTTGCCTCAAGTCAGCACGGGGGGAGAACTCAATGCATCTCGGGTACTAAACTCAGTAATAACTGTGAATAACTCAGTGTGGCTCAGGTTCTAAAACTGGCTGATAAATTAGGGAGTGCTGCCTTGCTGGTCTCACACAGCTGGATCTTGCTCCAGAACATCTGGAGCACACCACAGCTCCTTTCCAGAGGGATGTTTTGGGAACACCTATCCATCCCATTGGATGGAAAACGTGGTTTAAGCCTGTGGCAGGGAGTCTTGAGGTTGAAAATGATGGGGAAAGAAAAGGGGACAGAGAGCAGATCTTTAGGAAAATGAGGGTTGTGAGCACCCTGGGATAGTGGGAGGTGTCCCTGCTCAAGGCAGGGGGTGGAATCTGTGGGCTTTAAGGTCCCTTCCAATTCAAACCAGTCTGGCATTCCGTGAAGGTCTCCTTCCTGCTGCATGTTCTATCATGTATTGGATTTACACAGGGCTAATGGTTTGGGTGATATGGGTTTCATCTGGTTTTGGGATTCAGGAGGAGTTCTGGACCTGGAGCAGTGGACAAGGGCAGGGGGCTGATGTTTGGAGAGCTGGTGATGGAGAAGGAGAGGGAGGTGTTTGATAGAAATATTCATAGTTTGGTTCATAAGGCTTTGACCAAACTGGCCAAGTCTTGAGGTCTAGCTGGGATTTTAAGGTGAGTGCTTTGTTTATTAAAAAAAGGGGTCCCTCAATACTCCTGGGCAGTGGCAAAGCAGGAAGAATATGTGTGAGCAGCCCAAACTGAAACTGAGACAGTGCCTCCATAACATGTATGTGTCCATTGGATGTATTTATGCATAAATATAAATATAAATATGAGGGTGTATCCCACTGAGAAAAGCAATGGGAATATGGATGATTTAAACCTACAGGAATAGCACAAAGTTATAACAAACATAATCCATGTTATAGCGTGAGAACAGCAGCTGGTTTTATGGCTGTTTTATAGCACTTGTAGGAGGAGATTTTTAATGCTGTTTTATTCTGAAATCCTCTGAGTTTGTTGATTTGGGCTGTGCTGGGAAATAAGGAAGTTATTTTCTCTGTGGGGAGGGACCTGGGGGACACCGAGCTGTGCCTGGGCCAGCAGAGGCTCCCGGGGGACACCGAGCTGTCCCCGGGCTAGCAGAGGCTCCCGGGGGACACCGAGCTGTCCCCGGGCCAGCAGAGGCTCCCGGGGGACACCGAGCTGTCCCTGGGCCAGCAGAGGCTCCCGGGGGACACCGAGCTGTCCCCAGGCCAGCAGAGGCTCCCGGGGGACACCGAGCTGTCCCCGGGCCAGCAGAGGCTCCCGGGGGACACCGAGCTGTCCCCGGGCCAGCAGAGGCTCCCGGGCCAAGGAGGGCAATGGGAGCTGGGGCAGCAGAGGAGCTCTGGCAGCAGGTCAGGGAGGGATCCTGGCCCTGGGGCAGCCCTGGAGGCACCTCTGGGTGCTGTGTCCAGCTCTGGAGCCTCAGCACAGCAGGGCCAGGAGCTGCTGGAGCTGAGCAAGGGCCTGGAGCATCTGGGTGCCCAGGAAAGGCTGAGGGAGCTGGGGCTGCTCAGGCTGGAGAGGAGCCCCAGCTGAGAGGGGCCCTCAGGCCGGGCTGTCCCTGTGTGCAGGGAGGGGCAGAGCAGGGCCCAGGCTCTGCTCCGGGGCCCAGCAATGGCACCAGAGCCACGGGCAGGGCCTGAGCCCAGCAATTCCCCCTGCACAGGAGGCACAACTTCTTCCCTGGGCAGTGCCAGCCCTGAGCACATTGTGCACAGAGCCTGGGGGCTCTCCTCCCTGGGGCTGGGGCAGAGCTGTGTGCACACAATGCTGTGCCCTGGGCTCTGGGATGGCCCTGCTGGAGCAGGGAGGTGCCACCAGCTGCCCACTCCGCTCTTCAGCCTCAGCCTGTGACTTATATGAATTATTTTAAGACATGGCATATAGAAAAGGTGTGGGAATTTGGGAAGCTGTCCCTCCACCACGGTCACGGCAGGTCAGGTCACAGATGGAACTGCTGGGGGAAGCTCCTGTTTGGCACTGAGAGTCCCCAGGCAAAGCGTACCATCCCCTCATCCTGCTAAAGACTAAAATACCGTTTTGTGTATTTTGTGTAGTCTTTACCTTTGTAAAGGCTAAAATACACTTTTTTTTTTTGATTGATTCTTTGTAAAATGTGTTTGTGGTGTGTAAGGGGAAGAAATAATTGCGGTGTTTGGGTTGCACAGGAGGAGCTGTGCCCTGGTGACCCCAGCAGTGATAACTGAGCTGTTTGCACTGATTTATATCTGGTTTTTTGTTACATTCTCGATGATCTGAAAATGAGAATAGTGGTAGCTGTTCCTCCTGGGACAACACATCTGCTTCCAAGAAAATTTGTGCTATTTCCCATTTACATCTCTACCTCTGGTAGTTATTTTCCCTAAGTTACAGAAATCAGCTCTCCTCTACCTGCTCCAAATCCTTGGGGCATGATTTTTACCCAGATAATTTCCTGGAACAATAAAACTATATCTATGGGTATGGGTAAGAATGTCAACGGGCCAATTTCTGTGCTGACCATTGCAGAAACCTGATACCATACTTCCCAACTGGAGTAGTGGGAGTTACTCTGATGAATGTTGACATCACTGACCAGAAA